GCTGGAGGGCATATGTGTAGACAGTGACCATACACTTGTATGTGCTGATCTGCGGATGCGTTTATGGCGGACGCCCACGTCGACCCTTTGAGTGCATAGACAACAGCCAACTGACGAAGCCGGATGTTCCGAATGAGAATGGAAGTACCCTGACATTCGGGTTGAGTAAGCGCTCACTGAATACTATTGTACGTCACTGGTCTCATGTTCACCAGATCTTACTAGCAGCAGGAAAATCCTCATGTGGTAACTCTAATCGCCATGACGGATATTTGGTCTCTTCGCACCCTCTGGAACTTATCGATGTTCGCCGGCACATTCCGGCTGAAAGCAAACACAATTAGACTCACAAAAACCTCCGGGAAAAGCTCCGTGCTAGCCTGAAGAGAGACTGCGACTCCTGGTGGTTTCATCGTGCATCAGAGATGGAAATGGCCGCTGCTCTTAGTAACCATCGTGTTATTTCGTCTGATAAGGGAAACCGGCAGTAGGAGACCTGGCGTTAGTGAAACTATACATGATGAGAGTGGACAGCCTATCCACAACTTGTCAAAAGACTTAGAGCGTTTGGATGAGCCATTTGAAAGGCAATTTAATCGGTCGGAATTTTCAGATTCCTCACCGGCAAATGATTGCCCTTCTCCGTGGGCTGTCACTTGAGATCGGCCCACTGCCTCAGAAGTCAAACGTAAGATCAGACTCCTTAAGTTGAATAAGGCTGCGGGACCAGATGATCTTCATTCAGCCCACTTCAAATCCGGGTGACTTGAATTTGTGGATGACTTACACGAGTAACTAGTAAAACTGTGGGAGCAGCAAACCATCTCAACCGACTGGAGCCACTTCGTCATAGGCCTAATTCTAAAGTGAGGCTCCAGATCAGAATACGGCAACCATAAAGGAGTCAGTTTGAACTTCATCGCCTCTGAATTGCTTGCTTCTGTTATCCTAGAAAGATTGAAGGGCATACGTGAAAGCCAGGTTCGTGAAGAGCATACCGGGTTTCGTCGAAATCGAGGTCGCATCCACGACGTATTCACTTTGCGTCAGCTGTTCGAGCACCGTCACATACATTGACGGCCCACCGTTGTCGTGTTCCTCGACATCAAAGGTGCATTCGCTTCAGTGGATCGATGTGCCCTTTGGGACTGTCTACTCAGGAAATGTGTGCTCGACGAATATAAATATTATCCGAGCATTATATGCGCGTAACTCGGGCAGAGTGACGGCTCACTGCAAGCTGTCGCCGCTTTTCGATATCTCCAGCGGTGTGAGACAAGGATGCCCGCGCTCATTTTTCTCATCAAGTTTGCTGTTGACGATTTCATAGAGATCGTGTTCACAGGACACGAATGCTTAGGTGTGGAGCTGTTCCTAGGTGAGCGACTTCTTGACTTGGATCTTGCTGACGGTATTGCCCTCATCCGTGACAGTTCGCAAACTTGCAAGGCTACACTGGACAGATTAGCACTGGCTATCAGCCGCTTCAGGCTTTGCTTTGCCCCTACAAAGGGCAAACCTTGCTTCAAAGCTTGGCATGTTCCTCCACCTGCACCGACCCTTCTGTGGGAATCAGCTGGAATTCCTTAAAACTTTCAGCTACCTGAAAAGTTGTAGCAGCGACTTTGGGATCGAAGACGAGATCACGAACCGAATAGTAAAAGCTCGAGGCGCTTTTGCTAACCTTTGTCACCTATGACCGCGATGCGGCATCACTCTGCCTGAAGCATAGAATGTACCATCCGGTCGTACGTTCGACCGTCCTGTGCTGTCGTGAAACCTGGCCCATTAGATCGGCCGACATAAAGTGGCTAGTAATATTCGACCACCAGTGCCTTCGCAATTTGGCTCACATCTGGTGGGAAAACCGAGTGAGGAAGGTGCTTCTTCGACGCCTTGTTTACGACACAGGAAAAGGAAATGAAGCGCTCAGCACAGTTATTTCATGCACTGAGATCCGATGTCTGGGCCACGTGCTACGCATGCTAAACCACTGACTCCCGCAACTTGCGTTGTTTGTGCGCCGGAAATGTGGATAGAAGAAGAGGAGAGGTGCCGAAGCGATGACTTGGTTGAAAGGAAAGAAGGCCCTCACTTTGAAGCTGACCTCGGTTGGAGCATCTCGGCTCCCTGGTTGGGGTCCAAAAGACGATAAACACATTTCGCTAAATACACTTGCTGACCTGGCTAGGAGCCGAACTCAATGGTGTTCATGCTGTGAGTTTGTTTGTCCCTCCCCTTCCAACCACGATCACTTTTCTTAGCATAATAGATTTCTGCAGAGTAAATTCTTCTTTTTGCTGCATAGTTACTGGCTGGTAGCTTTCCGGAACCATGCCCATCCGATCCTGGTTGCTCATCTGACATGCTACTGTTGCGTAATTTATTCTCTTTTTCTTTTATGTATGGCGGCACAGTAGCTGAGGGGTTTTCTATCTCTAGCTAAGCTGTTAAATGACGGACGTTGAGGAATTTTACCTCTCTTATATTGTCAGTTTTATTTATGGGGATTTTATTCTTCAAGGCTTCGTGCACCTATTCGGCTATATATAGACACGTAGCTGCCGTGGACTGACAGCTTTTTGTGTCTATTCATATCTCAGCTGGAAATTTAAGGAAGATTTTGGATCACCCGAAAGTTTCGGAGTAGCACAATGCCTTGAATACTGCATTACTACGATTTGTGGTCAGCCGGAAATTTCCGCCAGTAAAGTTGCAATCAGGACATAGGCTAGGGTTGCGCTAGAAAACCTTTTCAAACTGACCGACCTTCCTCTTAAATATGCATTCACGGGACAGTCTGGAGCACAAAACGGTCAATCGTGGCGCTGCAACGGGCATTTCAGCGTACAAGTATCTGTTGCACCTGTTATGCTGATAGTTAATGTCTTATCATATTCCATTCTGATATTATGAAATTTACTTATTGCCATTTCCGTTTGAACGCGTCCGTTAAAGCACCAGCCTCAAAAATGCAGCTGTTCCACAGCTGCACCTGCTTGGACTACCATGGCTGCTCTGGATTACTAATGAGTAGTGGGGATTTGTTAGGATTAGAGACTCGCATTACCGTATTTTTCGGACTATAAGGCGCAGTTAAAATCCTTATTTTGTTACAAATTCGGCACTGCGCCTTATATTCCCGTTCGCCTTATGCATGAATGGTTGTGCTGAGGCCTAGTGACCTCGAATCAATTTCTATCTTCACACTGCGTTGAAAAATCTATCAAAATGTTTTATTACGACTTTGATTGTCGAAGCATAATCGCTAGTCAGGAACCTCGTGGAACTAGCCTTCTATGTTGTCTACCCAGACTTGATTTGGGGTGGCGAACCTTGTGCAGGAGCCAACTTATCCGAGTATTTCTGGCGACGATAAACCAACCAACTATTCAAACATCCACGTTGATATCCCCTACTGTGCTATTTTTGATGCTTAATCCACCCGGCAAATCTATTTGGTCCAACAATGCACCTTACTAACAATCCCAAACAGGCACCGGTATCTCGCTGGCTGCAGATGTATGTTCGAACACATGAGTTGCGCTCTCACCAGTGTTCCAGAGGCATGCAGTCATCCAGACAATCTGAAACGCCCGTGTGAGCTTCACTCACTTCATCGTCCAAACTGAGGTTTTCGAATAGATAACCGGAACATAGAACAGCAGGTAGAAGCGTCTCTACAGTCTCCATTCGTTTCAAGACACTAGCGATGACACGTGATATGAAGATGAACGGCTTTCAAGAAGGTCCTTCTTTGTGCGTCCTTTTTATGAAAAGACGTCATCTCTCGATTCGCACAAGAATTATCGCCTCGCAGCAACTGCCAAAGGATTACGAAGAAGAATTGGCCATCTTCCGTACTTAGGGCAAGAACAAGATCACCGAAAAGGAGATCCAGCCAGACCACTTCACAAATAGGGACGAGGTTCCTCTCAGTTTTAACATCCCCGTGAACCGTACTGTTGAAAAACAGGAACGTCCACTGTATGCATACGCATCACAGGAACGAGAAATCATCCTATACTGTAGTTCTCGGTTGTCAAGCTAATGGCCAGAAACTAACACCCATGGTCATTTTTAAGAGGAAGGCTTTGCCAAAATTAAGGTTTCCTGTTCAGGTCATCGTCAAGGTCAACCCAAAAGGCTGGACGAACGAGAAGCACTTAATCGAGTGACTGAGAGAACAGGAGACGGGATGACTTTTACCACACATCTCCGTCCTTATTGATCTACGACTCCATGTGCGCCCATCTCACCGAAACCGTCAAACGCCAAGTAAAGAAAACTAATTCGGAGCTTGCCATCATTCCGGGAGGATTAACCAAAGAACAACAGCTAGATATTGATGTCAACAGGGCGTTCAAAGTTAAACGGCGAGCAGCGTAGTAAATTGCACCGATGTGCGGAACAAACTATCACCACAAGTATGCGCGAGTACAAACCTCACCACATCCGGAAAAACTAATGTCCTTCTTCACTAAAGCAAATGAGTTATAGACATTTGGCTGGTATCATTGTCCAGATAGATTAACGGAAGGTGCTCTAACCAACAAATGAACTGTAGAAAGTTCACCCACACCTTTATGGCTGCCGAAACTTTTACATGTGTGTCACCTACACTGCCCCATTTCTGTTGCCGTTCCCGTTCTCTTTTGCTACCCGAAAACTCAGAATGGAACGATACAAACATTCGTACTGAATGAATAATGTACAAGTGAACACGATACTGCTTCCTGAGACCAGTGGTGCAGAAGCTTAGTTAAACAGGGAAGTTTTCGAAAAATCATCGCCTAAATTTCTCATGTGTTGGCACCGGAATACCATACCACTATTTATGTGTGAAATTGCTCGCACACATATAAGGATGCTATGCTGCTTGTCGGGAAACCTAAATATTCCTTTTCTTTTATGTGATATCTCAACCCTAATTTCCATTCCGCTTGTATGTAGATTTGAATCGATATCTCTCTAGTTATATCCGTAAATAATTTCAACAGAGATATACGGGTGAACCAATATCCAAGGTATTACGGAACATTGAATTCGGGGAAGTAGTGCAGTTGGATCGGTAAGTCCATTATATTCATCCCTATAAGAAACTTATGATATTTCCTCGTCCAATGCAATGACTACGACGTAACTCAGCGCATTCATCATTGTATTGTTTTACATGCCTTCTATAAGTCATCATTTGTTTTCACAGTTCGAACGAAATTAGTGGTTTAGGTTATAGTTCTTGATCTGCTTTTCTGTACAGAACTTGTAAATATCTTGACGGGGTGCCTTAGCGTACTATTTGCAGTGAAACTGACCAATGTGATGCATTAGTGATAACAGGCGTCGACCAAATCCAGTCGGTTATCAAGCGTTTATCACTAAAATACTATAGAAAGCATGTTTTTCCCATTACAGTCAGACCCCCTTAAGTCGACCACTCAACAGCCTGGACCAATATAGAGAGATTGTAGACATTACATAGGTCTGAATTCGTGAGGCTTACAAGGTGAAAGTTCGAGCAATGCAAACGGTCACAATAGAGACGTGGCACTGATACAGAAGCAGGCAACTTTGGACGTTTTACTGTACACTCTGTTATCTAACGCATGTCCTACTGTCCATTACGGAT